CCTGACAAGGTCAGACATACAGGTGCTTATAATACATACACCCAGATGTAGGCACAGACTGTGCTGGACTGAAACACTAATAAAACAAAGTAATTGTTAGAATCACATTTGATTTTCAGAAATCGCCCTTCAAAAGGGAGCACATGGCAAAAAGACCCACGGAATGAACTGTAAGAGCTACCAGTGGACAAAGCTAGAATAATTTGAGCCGCAAAATAAATAATACAGTATTGACTTATAACTCAAAGTAGGAAGTAAAATGCATGAGTCCACACTGACAAAAGTATGTTACTGGATGAATAAGTAAGTGAGGGAGAAGGGACAAATCCTGCATAATTCCATAATTTGTAAGGGGAGAGTGTAGACACTCTCCCCTCACGAAAATGAGCTTAATTCTACCCCCATGAGTGTAGGTCACTCCTAGTGACTAAAAAATTAGACTATGAAAAGGAGTGAAAATAACTTTACAAGGGAAAACATGGCAGATGTCCTTTAACCAAGTGATCAAGGGTAAGGTCAAGGTCTCCTTTGTAAACAAGAACAAGGGTGTGAGAAGCGGCATCACTATCTGTGATATAACAGTTTTGTTTTACTGCTTATCTCCTTAGCCCTAATTTGGACAAGTTGGAAGTCAGTTTTGCCAAAAGCTGCTTCTTGGTATAGCTAAATATTTAGTTAAGATTAATGAATGTTACACTGGTCCAGTGGTTCTCCATTGCTGGAACGTCCCCTTCCACCACAACTTCTAGATTTAACCATGTGTGTGCATGGCTATGGCAGGAAGGTTGCTGATACTTAGTATGTAGAGGCCAAGGATGCTGCTCAGTATCCTACTGTGACCCTCACAACAAAGAATATCTGGCATCACGTGTCAGCAGTGCTGAAAGTGAACACCCCAAATGAATACCCCAAAATCTAACATATTTATTGGATTTCTACAATATCCTTTGCAGTAGGCTACATTTTCCAGAAGACATAGGTAGAAAGGGTTCTTGCCCTCCACTAACCATTGTGGGGGACTGGAAGAACAGGTGGGCCGCTGCTGGTCCTATCATACTATGACATAGTAAGGCTGCAGCTGCATACAAGATCAAAAGGAATAATCCAGATAGGTGGGTGGGATGTCTAGAGGGTAAATGGTTAATGCAGAATGGCTGTGTGTAGGCTGTAGGACTTCCACTAAGTCCTGAAGACCTGTAGACCTTAGGGTGAGTAGGAAAGAGAAAGGACAGTCATCTTTTGCTGGAGTGGTGCCAGAACAGCCTGGGAGTAAAGCACTTTTGGAAAGAGTTGCTGGGCCTGTTGGTACACTCTTCTTTTATATTCTCTTTAAAAAAAAATTTTTTTTTTTTGCATAGAAGCACTGAGGTACAGGCCAGAGGTGCAGGGGTGTGAAAGGATTCACCAGAGGCAGAGTGGGGAGCAGGACAGGCAGATTGACTGACACCCACTGCTGAGGGGAGCATGGGTGAGACAGGAGAGGCTTGCTGCACCATGTGGGTCAGCTCCCTGGCCGGAGATTGACGCAGGCCATAGTGATGATAGCTCTGAGATTTACTTAACTCCTAGGCCAGCAGTAAGGTCCTCAGATGCTTTTTGCAGAGGTGGGTCAGGACCTAGATGCAGTTTATTCTGCAAACTGAGAAGCGGTTTCAGGCAGGAGGGGCCTGTCATCAGAACCAGAAAGACACTTGAAAAAAATCTCCACAGCTGATTAATGCTAATTTACCCCACTCCCCTCTCAGTTCTGAGAAGCCTGTGTCAGAGACGCCTATGCACAGTTTTCTTTGCCTTTCGGTCATATTCTTCCCTGGCAACTTTACTTTTGGTTTCTCTTGGTCCTTTTTGCCCACACCCGTTTTTTTTTTTTTT